ATATTATTCTGCTTATATGTAAAGTAAGCGAAACGATAATAGTAAGCAGTTGAATAAACGATGAAATTCTAGAAATACAACTTCCGAAAAAAGCATAAGAAACATATGTTTTTGGCGCCTGGCTAGTGCACCCGGTTACGACTCGGGAGGTATATGGTTCGAGACCCCTCTATGGAGAGCACTTTCTTTTTAAAAAAAAAAATTTGCTTTTGCAAATAGGATTAACAGGTTAAAGAGTATATCCAATTAATTAATTTATCTTATTACAATAAAGGCATAAACAATGACAAACTGCGGACTTCCACATTACCCAAGAGGTGCCGCAGTCGATGCGTTCCCATTATTTAACGTAGCGGGTCCCCAGTAGGCCTATACTACGATCGTCCTATACTATTTTTAAAGTTTCCTGTCCTTCAAATTTTCTCGGTTGCCCAAACTTTATTTTAAGCTTATATAAAATATTTTTAAAAAAAGGTTGTCATCGGGATCGAAAATCATTTTCTATTAACTCACAATATTCTCTCTCGCAATATCCTTCATAGTAATAAAATGAACATGAGACGTGTTGCATCTTGTTTCCTTATAACTATTGAAGAACTACTTACCGTGATGCTGCTGCCTGTACGACTGTGAACGACCTGACGCTGCAGGCCCCAATGTGTATTGCTAGTCGCGCGATAGTTAGCAACATTGTTGCAGACGCCCGCTCAGATTCGATCCGTCAGATTCCTAGACTGTTGTGTTGAAGTCGCCAGTACGTGATCTCAATAGACCGATATACTATTCTTCCCAATTGTCCTTTTCTCAATTTCTCTTACTTTTAGATATTCACACGCGTCATGTGTGTGTGAAATATAATGTAAAATAATTGTCGTAATCATCTTCAATAAAGAAACTTTATATTTGAGTGCAGAACTCATATTATTAAGATTTTCTAATCGAAACCTTTTGATATCCTATTGCCATTCATTTATACTTTAATTACTTAAATAGATCGTTTGTGTAATGTTGATATCGCTGATCGTAGTATAGGCCTAGTGGGGACCCGCTACGTTAAATAATGCGAACGTGTGCCGCAGTCGATACGTTCGCCTCTTAGGTGATGTGGAAGCCCGCAGGTTGTCGTTGTATGCCTTTATTGTAATAAGATAAATAAATTAATTGGATATACTCTTTAATCTGTTAATCCCATTTGCAAAAGCACATTTTTTTTGTAAAATGAAAGTGCTCTCCATAGAGTTAAACTGCGGCACCTCTTGGGTGATGTGGAAGCCCGCAGGTTGTCGTTGTGATGCCTTTATTGTAATAAGATAAATAAATTAATTGGATATACTCTTTAATCTGTTAATCCCATTTGCAAAAGCACATTTTTTTTGTAAAATGAAAGTGCTCTCCATAGAGGGGTCTCGAACCATAGACCTCCCGATTTGAAACCGGGTGCACTAGCCAGATGCCAAAAACACCTGTTTGTTTTACTTTATTCGGAAGTTGTATTTCCAGAATTTCATCGTTTATTCAACTGCTTACTATTGTCGTTTCGCTTACTTTACATATAAGCAGAATAATATAAAGATGCACACCAGTTAAGAAATTTCGCGCCACCCTTCTCCACGTGGATGAACAATTACCCCTCGACAAATAGTCTCGAGGTACCGCGGCGGAGAACTCGCCCGTAGCGAAAGGGTTAAAACATTGAACCATCCAAATCCTGGGTTTAATGTAAAATATTCTAACTGATCTCGTCCAGATAGAAAATTCAAATTGTTGTCATTCTTGACTGTAGATGGCATCTTACACGATACTGGCCAATCGTGTAGCGTTAAGATATTGTACAGAGATGAATAGGGAGATGCACAACGCTACGATTTTCGGCAGAGATGAGTGGCACGTGGACGAACAATTACAGACAGAGATAATGCTCATTTCCATATTTGCTTCTTAAGATTATTGATTCCAGGTAATGAAGTGAGCTAATTACTTTCTCATAGTAAATCTTATTGAGTTTACAGTGGGCGCTGGAACTGAAGACTGCAAATAAAAAAGTATTTATAAGATTATAAGAACCAGCGGCAGCAGTAACAGCAATAGCAGACCCCTCAGCGAGAGAGGATCCGCAATCGCTCAAGTCGCCGGTCGCGCGGCACGAGCGGGCGTTTAAAATATTAGTCGATTCTGTCATAGATAAAATTTAAAAAAAAAATATACAACTTAAAATAAAGTTTGGGCAACCTAGAAAGGTTAAAAGAGAGGAACCTTGAACAATTTTTGTAGTAAAATGAAAAAAAAAAGAAGATGAAAAAAGAGTTCTTCATGGGGGATCGAACCCGTATCCAGCAGCGGTGTATCTTGACAGTTTATTGACTCAGCCACGATGCTCGTTTAATACTAAATTAAATTTTCTATATATATTTATCTATGATATTTCAAAATTTCTTTTTGAACTGTTCTCGGTCGTTTCATTTACCAACGAATTTCGCCATTCATTCTTTAATGTTCATTTTCGGCATGATAAGAGGTAAAGAATGAAATCCAATATTTCTATGCATTTTTTATAACTTTGAAATTTATTTGAATATACACATTTGTTTGCGCATTACGTCCATACAAATGTTTAGGGTTCGGTTGCCCGAAGACCTTGCTGCCCCGCCGCCTGTTTGTCAAGAACGGTTTGTGAAGGGCGGCAACTTTTTCCCCACCACCGAGCAATCCATTCATTGCGCTGACTGCAATATCGGCTGGAACGATGATCATGACCCGCGCGGCTACGCGAAATCTATAACATCGACAGAGGAGATGATCACGAAATCCTACTCCCGGACTCGCCGCTACGATTTAGCGCCATGCTTTTGTTATCGCCTAAAACCGGAGCGTTGTGCACCTCCCCACTCATCTCTGTTGTGCATCTCCCCACTGATCTCTGCGAGTAGTACCTCTAAGCGCAGTACTTGTTATTTTGTGCACAAGGTTGTTTATAATCTAAAGATGGCGCAGGTGTTGTTTGGCAAGTGCTGCCTCCTTTGCCTCAATTGAAACTATTGTTTTTATTCTGAAAAGCGCAGTTATAACAGATATAATTATTTATAAAAAAGAACAATAAGGTTTATTTTTACTTAATAATTTATTACTGATAAATATGAGTGAAGAGGTATTTATACCTATTATTTTATTAACAGGTTCTAGTAGATGTTCAATTTCAAGTGTTTATTAATCGTTCTAGGATGGAGATGCAGAACTGTTTGAACTGGAAAGAAGCAAATCTGAACTTTTGAAGAAAATCGATGCCCTAAAGAAGGTATCAGAAAAGATTGGAAGTCAATGTCGGCGATATAAACTTCCCCCAAAGAAGTAATTTTGCATCCAACCATATAATTTTATGTTATGGATATCTCGAATCATTCATATTTCAACTGTTATACTTAGAATTTTTGGAAATGGACACTCTGCTGCCAATTCAGGACAATCCAACACTGATGGAAACACAGTAAAATTACTTTGCGATGCATCTCGTCATGCCACTGGAGTTAGTTTTAAGAATGTTGACAGAAAATGGTTGAAACATGATACATATTTGTATACTGCATATGTCAAAATGAAAGTAGCACGATTCTTTCTTGATTTGACAGTAGAGACCAAAGTAAGTGGACCAAAGAAATCATACTAAAGAATCTTGATTGCATTACTAATATTATGTACATGCACTAGGGAGAATCTGAATTGAAGATTCTTGATATCACTTGTCATTTTGTTGGTGTGGCTGACTGTTATTTATTAGAGATTACACCCTGGGTACAACAAATTGCAACTGCAAAGGATTTCTCATATATGATGACTGGTAAGACATGACATAAAAATTTTCTCAGAAATTTTTAATCAAAAAAGAGTCTTTAAAGCATTTTTTCTATTTTACACCAGTTTTATCAGATCATTCAGAACAGTGTGTGTTGAGAGTGAAAATATTGGACAAAGTGAACAAGAATAAGTATGTAACAGTAAAGCAATGCGAGGAAGGTATAGGTGGATTTGTTATTCTTATCAATTCACACACCGACAATGAGCCTAATTCTATAAAAGTCCAATGGTCCTTAAAATATACTGAAAGGTCTTGCCGTATTGATCACAAATTTCAAATGTGGGCTGTGGGTTCAGGTAAGATGTACTTTTGTACACAAGGTATATCAGATATGAACCTTTCATTAAATAGCATTCATGTATAAATACATATTTACAGGATTAGAGTTTATGAAAGAGAATTCTCAAATAGTGGAGAATTTTTACAGAAAAAGTCTCAATGAAACCGATTTGGATAAAATATGGTCAGATCTGTTGGATGCGATTGATAAATTCGAGGAAGAAGGAAAATTCAACGCACCTTAAACATTTCTCAGTATCTAACGTTTATTCATTTTTCCTATTTTGTACTATCTCCCTATCTCGTGTCATTATCCATAATAAATATTTTTGTACATGATCCTTAAGATTGACGATTTACTGTCTAAAGTGACACTAGGTGTCTATTAATGAGAACCAGTTGTTCATGACTGGTGCATCTTCAACAATTAACGAGTCTGGATTATCAAATATAAGTATCTTCCTTGAATTTGCTGGCCACTGAATAGGACTTCCTCTTGGTGTTGGGTTACTATAAACAAGGAAAAGTATTAATATCCTCTTTCGTAATGAGAAGCAGTCAAAAGAAATCACAAATTGGTTACCCTGTTCTAGCAAAATTGCACCACATCCATATAATTGCCTTGGATAGATAGTATTCGGTAGATGTATGATTGTTCAATTGTGGTAAACTACCAAAAATACCTCTTCCTTGAAACTGGTATGTAAGTTCGTCCATATGTGTAGCATCTGAAGGACATACCACTTGTATATCATATTATATTCTTTGATTTAGAATATTATAAATTACATTACTATCACATTGTTTCCTACCTTTAGTGTCATCGCGGAAAAGTCGTAAGAAGTTATTTTTTCCAGTAAAAGCAAATTGATAAAGGTAAACGCTAGCCCCAGACATAGCATGGAACTTAGATCCTAATAATATTGGCATTTTGAATTCGTAGTCACCAAGAATACGATGGGCTATTTCTATTAGACGGTGCTTCAAGATCCTGTTTTCCAAAGTTTTTGCACTCTCTATTCGAGTATTATTTTCATCCACAGATATATTGATTCTTTTACTCCCAAGTTGTTGATCGTGTTGAAAAACTTCTTTTTCTTTTCCCAATCGTTTAAGTACAGCTTCTCGAGCTAGAGGATTTATCATGGCCACTGAAACATAGAAAAATAGATTTTCTGATCTCGAGTTACGATAAAATATGTTAAGTTAACGTTACCAATAATTTCTAAAAATAAAAGTCCCTCGGCGGTTGTATATCCAGTGAGAAAAGGTATTTTACTTGATACGTATTTAGTCAAAAGTGTCTTGGGACCCATTTTAATAAAAGAATTAACTGTACCAGCTGGTTCTATTGTCGGAGTAAAAGTCACACCAATAGGAAGTTGTTTGATGTCCTGGAAGGACATGAAGAAAAAGAACCATTCGAACTCTCAATAATGTAAAATTGAACAAAGAAGATCCTTACATGATCTGTAGAAAATTGATATTTCACTATGTCAAAAGGATCAACATTTTTAAGGCAATTAATAATCGCTTGGGAACCTCCATTCAGACATCCAACGGCCCTTGCAAGATTTCTGGTCCTCTCAGCCTGTATCCCGGGTTTCGTAAAGGCCCAGGGTGTTAGAATTGAACCGCTCTGGGCGATAACACCTGAGATTAAAGACCTAGAGTGAAGTTGAAGAGAATGATATTGGGCAGAAGCACCACCAGCACTTTGACCCATAGCTATAATTCTATTTTTATCTCCACCCAAGACATCGGCATTATCCCAAACCCATTGAAGAGCCATCGCCTGATCCTTCAACCCCATGTTCCCAGGTATAACGTTACCCAGGGAGAGGAACCCTAGAGCACCAAGACGATAATTAATTGTAACCAGTATAACATCCTCCTCCATGAAGAAATCGGGACCATATAGGTAATCATCCATATCTCCAGATCCTATTGTCCAAGTGCCACCATGTATAAAGAAGATTATTGGTAATAATTTCCTTGTCGCGTTGGTAGCATTTTCCTTATGGTCGGTCAGCTGTAAAGGAATAACAACGCATTTATTACTCGCAAAGAGATATTTCAGTTAATATGTTGATGAATGATAAATTATAATGTATCTTATAGTGTTGTCAGATTTCCGTATTTACCCCTGGTGTATAAACATTCAAATAAAGACAGTCTTCTTGTCCCAGGGTGATATCCAGTATCCATAAACGTTGAGGACATTGACTCCCATGTGTAAGAGCTTCTCTTACACCACTCCAAGGCTCAGCGGGTTGTGGATGCTATAATTATTTAATTACAATCAAATAATATTTTTTAAATCACTGTATGTACAATTATTTAATGCTATTCGTCAGGCTTATTAATGCACTTCTACCCTCCCTCAATTTCCCTCAAATTCAATTCGAATGAATATGTGGCATACCCGGAAAAATTATTTCAATCCTTCTCAATCCGTACAGCCAATCCGAGTTATTTCGAGGTTCATCTTGACAAACTTTTTAATTCTCAATTCGAGCTTCCTCTCGAAGTTCAATTCGAATGAATCCGAAACAAATTTTCAAACCCTATTAATCCGTGCATCTAATCTGAATCAATCCAAAGTTTATCCGGGGCAACCTAATTCTTCTCACTACAGATTTCGGATTAGGTTGAACGCAGTCAGATACGATTCCTATTTTTTACGGATTCGCTAGGAATAAAACTAATTCGTTCGGTTATTGGATTAGATTACGAAAATTGATACTGATGCAAGCGTTACCATTTTTAATTATATATATATATATATATTTTAATAACAATAAATATATATAAAATACCTCAAAGCGCAATTCTTTAAGGGGTGGTTTCGCATAAGGTATCCCCTTAAAAGCCGCATAATATTTTCCACTAGGTGAACAAAGCCAGCTGCCCTTAAGATATCCTAAGGAACTTTGAATAACAGGATTATTCTCTGAATCCTGAGGTTTTGCATCATAGTCTAAGACTGCACTATTATTCTCACTAATTTCTTTAGAACCCTTAGCCAAATAAATAGAAAACACCAAAGACATTCCCATAAGTTTGTAATAGTAAAATATCATCTCGTTATTAATCTTGATATAAAAACGTAGGAGATAACGAGAAGATAGAACGATATATCAACGACGAAGATGTTTTATAACACGAATCATCATCAATACTGTGAAAATTAAACGGAAGAGCTACTGGTTTTTACTTTTAAAATATCCTTGTAGTTTCTCCTTCCTTGCGTTTCTCTTGGTGCTGCTATTTGTTAAATATTTCATTCAAATTACAAAATACATTCCCGCAGGTTTTTGCTGTCGTTGCATTTAACGCAACGAAAATCACCGCCGACCGAGGTACTCTTGGAAAATGTTGGAATATATTCTGTGTAACAAGGTGACCAGTTCAAGGCACATGAAGACACGCAATGTTTTCTTTAAAAGAGAGGAATATTATAAAATACGAGACATATGTTAATGAGGAGTGATGAGGAACGCTTCTTAAGGAGTGCTCAAGGGCTCTAAATATCTCTAATATATTCCACGTGTCAGTCAATTCATTAGAAAAAAAAAATCATAATTCGTAGACTTACAAATTTCTAAGTTAGTCCTTGAACAATCATAAGCTTAGATACAAATAATTTTTTACATGTAATAGAATACGCAAATCACAGTAAACTAGAATGATTTATTAAAGTCTTAAAGTCAAACCTACTATTATAGTCTGTACAGAAACTCATATACTAGAAAGCTATGAATACTTCAAGCTAAAAGGGTACAAAATTTATTACAATAACAGCAAGATAAACAGAAATGATGGTGTAGTGATATATATTAAGGATGATATAACTGAAATAACGGAAACAATAGTTCAAGGAAAACTCTGTATTTTAAACACTAGTATTGTAATTAACAACAATAAAAATTTGGTTAGGTATATCATCTTTATACAGATCACACGATTTTCCAAAATCAGAATTTATTTTCCAACTAAAAAAATTCCTAGAAAATATGAAAAAAGTAAAGAATCATCTTTTAAATGGTGATTTTAATATCGATTTATTAAACCTTGATTGCACTAGTCAAGAACACTTGAATAATCTGCTAGATAAAGGTTTTGTACTAGGTTTTCAAACTACCACTAGACCATCCATACACAATATCAAAGAGGGTTCGTGTGTTGACAATATATTTGTCAAAGTTGACTCAATTGAAACTAGATCTTTTAAACTTTCTAATTTGTTTAATGATCACTATCCACTATTTCTAACTTTAACTAAAATAAAAAATACAGTATCTAACCAAACTTTTACACAAATCAACTATAGCAAACCTAAAAAACTAGCTGATAAAACAAATTGGGTATTTATACTGTCGATGAACGAACCGGAGAAGGCGACTAACACACTAATAGATTATATTAAACAATGCGTAGATAAGGCTACTATTAGTAAAAAGAAAAAGAAAAATCACTCAAATCTCACTCCAAGGAGTAAATGGATTACGAGTGCTATAATAAACTCGTGCAATAAAAAAGACTTACTGTACCAAATATGGCAATCGGACGCGAACAATGATACATACAAATATGAATATAAAAATTATGTTAAGATACTTGATAAGGTCATAAAAGAAGCTAAATTATTGTATGATCGGGATGAAATAAAAATGAATTGTAATAACACTAGAAAATTATGGAATATTGTAAAGCAAAAGCTTGGAAAAAGTAAAAACAAAAATGACGACAGTATTAATTATATAATTGATGAGAATAATGAGGAAATAACAGACCCATTTAAAATAGCGAATAATATGAATACATATTATTACAATATAAGTGCTAAACTTAGTCAGAGAATGCAGACTATACAACCAATAAAAACATCAAGGCCTCCATCCAACCCGAACACTATATTTATCACACCTACAAACTGTATAGATATTAAAGAAATAATCAACAATATGAAATTAAAAACTGGTGGTTTAGATAATATTAACACAAAGACAATATTAACTTTATCGAACCATATTGTTTTACCTCTAGTTTATATAATTAATTTATGTATTGAGAAAGCCACTTGGCCTAGCACTCTAAAATGTGCTGATATTAAACCAATCTTTAAAGCAAAAAAAAGACACGAAGTAGAGAATTACAGACCAATATCATTGATATCAAACATAGCAAAAATATTTGAAAAAGTGATATATCACAGAATATCGGATTTTATAAGAAAATTTGAGATAATTTCTGACAAACAATATGGTTTCATAAAAAATATTGGTACAAAAGATGCCCTTCAAAATATAACAAACTTGATTTATGAAAAACTAGATAGAAGCATTCCAATAGCAATAATTTTTCTTGATCTGGCTAAAGCGTTTGACACGGTAAATCATGTGTTTCTACTGGATAAACTGTATAACTATGGTATAAGAGGAAGGGCGCATAAACTATTGAAAAGTTACCTAACCAATAGAAGTCAGCGTGTTAAAGTTCATGGCATCGTTAATGACTATAATGAGTTGAAAACAGGTTTTCCCCAAGGAACGATCTTGGGGCCGCTACAGTTTATAATATATGTAAATGATTTGTTAACACGCATGCCAAATAACGTAATATCATCATATGCAGATGATACAGCTGTTATAGTTACAGGTAAATGTTGGACCGAAGTTGAGTCAAAAATGAATATTTATATAAATCTGATCTATAAATGGCTGACTAGTAACAAATTATCATTAAATATTGAGAAAACTGTATATATAACTTTTGGAAACTATTGCGATAGTGTTCCAAGTGATTTTGAAGTACACATAGAGGGTAAAGCTCTAAAAAGAGTCGAGCACTGTAAATCTTTAGGTGTGATATTTGATTACAAATTGAATTGGGGAAAGCATACAGAGTACCTATTGAATAAAACTAAATACTTAATTTTTGTATTTCGAAAGTTATCTAAATTTATGACGAGTGAAACACGTAAAATGTTATACTATGCTTTTTTTCATAGCATAATTAGCTATGGAATGATAGCATGGGGTGAAATGTATGCAAATAATCAAAACCTAATACAAAATCTGTAAAACAGATTGCTGAAAATTGTAAATAAAAATCAATTTATAATCAATAAGAATCCATTGAATCTAAAACAAATGTTTGCTTATGAATCACTAAATTTTCACTATAAGTATTTACAAGATAAATTCATTAATTCAAATAGCGTGACCAGAAACAAAAACATAATTATCCCGAAAAGATACAAAACTGTTAGCATTAAGAACAGTATTATAAAAGCAATTATCCTGTTTAATAGTCTTCCTACGGAACTAAAAATGATTAATAACATTTATCCAAGGAAAAATAAATTAAAAAAGTGGATTATACTTAATGTATAAAAGAGTTGATTAGCGCTAAGATAATTCAATATATATAAGCATCACATTTAATTATTATAGACAATATTTTTAGTTATATAATTTTAGTTGTAATTAGTTATAAGGCTTTATTGTTTCAGTTCTGCGAACTGGTAACTCAGTTTACCTCTGCATGGTTTACGGATGTATAATGGTTGTTTTTAGAAATAACAATGTATATCTATGTAAACTTACTGAATAAATACTAAATACTAAATACTAAATACGATTTATGGAAATTGATTGTCATCCTTCTGGATTTCAATGCCGCCTTCTCATGGCCTTTCTAATAAAGAATTCTTTAAATTTAATGAAAATTAAATTACTTTCTTTATAAACTTCATTTAAAAAATTCCAGAGACAACTCCCCAGTGGCGCAATTGGTTAGCGCACGGTACTTATAAGACAGTAACTTTGTGAGCAATGCCGGGGTTGTGAGTTCGAGCCTCACCTGGGGAATTTTTTTTTCTCTACGTTTTTGTTTTCATAGGAATAAAAAAGTTGAAATAATCTTGTGATTACTTGGAATGAAGATATGGTTCAGTTTAAATGATCTATATAGATTACAGTCAAAGTCTTTGTCTCCAAGTATGGAGCTTTTATTTACAAATGAAAGCATATTATCTACATAGAGGATTATTAAAAATGACGAGAATCTATTGTGATTTAATCAATTGAATTATCTAAGAAGTCTGCGATGCTTCTTTTGATTCCTCTTCAGCATCTTTAGCTTGTGCTGCTTGCTTGTCATTTAATCTTCTGTGCCTCCATGCTGTCATGTAGGATCTAGGATGAATTGGAAAGAATCCAGCAAGTCCTAATAATTCTGCAACTGATTTTGTTGGTTGAGCTCCTCTTCCAAGCCAGTAACGTATCCTTTCAAAATTGAATGCTACTAGTCTTTCGTTATGTACATTTACTCGAGAATCATAAGAGCCTAACTGTTCTGTTGGAGGTTGGCGTTGCCCTTTATAGGCCTAGAATATATAATACGGATAAATTGATTAATTTTATTATTACAATTTCTAATAATTAACCTTTGATAAATGCTGAGAAGAATATCTATAGTTGCATGATTGTATTCCTTACCTCCATGACAACAATGTGATAGAAAGGTCTATTAGTACAGCCATATCTAACAAATCTGATGACTTTTTTAGCGAAAGGATTTATTTTTCCTGTTCCCACAGCGGGGTGCAATGGCATTCGTGGCATTGTGTTATTTTTTAATTAGCTCACTTGTTTCCTTATATATTTAAAACACAACGTAAGGTTATGCGGTTAACAGGAGTTATTTGATGCTGCCATCTATGAGTATACACGTAAAATCTAATAAGTTAAGATTAATTATCTTAAGAAATAGAGTTAAAAAGAATTCTCTAGAATTCAAACGTTCTTAATATTATGTATATAAGCCAAGGCAATTAAAATTTTCTTCTTTATTATTCTATTTTGGATTACTCAGTGTATTAAAAAGAAATATAGTATTTTTCAGAGAGTGAATATTTGTTCAAAATTTCGAAAAATTAAGTGACACGTAGGGATATTGTTCCTGAGGAATATAATTACATAGTGATAAAATTAATAAAAGAAACAGACGTTAGAGTTCGTACCATTCTTGTTCCAAAGCGTCAGTACTCACGCAAAGCAAGAGTGGGAATTCATTCGTCTCGGTAATTGGTGAATTTAACGTCGAGCGTCGTGAGCAGTGGGAAGGTTTATGACTTAACAGAGGGGGGGTCACGTGACCGAGCTGCGTTTTGAGCGCACTAACCAGGTACGGAGAAGTTCGTTGTTTTTTTCGTGGTTTTTCGCGCGCCGCGGCACCGAAAAGCTAAACCTTCCGAATTCTGCGTGCCCGGCCATTCCGCGCCCCTCGAGGACGCGTCCTCCATCCGGAAAATCCGTGAGTTACCCGCATTTCTCGACTCGATGAGGTCTCTGAACATCTATCGATACCTCCGCCGCGGCGACGATGGTTGACAAGCCTTCCTCAAGCTCACAAATGGCGTCCGTCGTGCACATGGTCTTTATAAACTTTTCGTATAGACTCGAGTGGCCATTCGCGATACGGGCCCATCTGGAAAATTCTTGACTGGGCCTCACCCAACATTGCTTACGGTTTTTTTGACTTTGCGACCCACGCTAACTACCCTTCCACACGAACTGATGCGAACGTACGCAAGCTAAACGGCCGGCCCATTCTTCTATCTTTTGTGTCTTCATTGTCTTTACGAAAAACTCAGTTTTCAATTTTCCTCAAAACCCTTTAATTTTCTTTTAATCTCATTTTTACGTTTTTTGAATCTTTCAGCTTAGTTCTTTACACCTTCACCTTCCGCGATTTTCATCATGTTCCATTTCATGTTTCCAAGCACCTTGGTAGTTTATATTTCTCTAAGCAGCATTTTGAGCTATAGATAGATTGTCTTTTAATATTCTGATAGAAGCATAGTTTATGTAAAAATGTTTTGGTTAAAGATATATGTTTTTTGAAATATTAGAAGGTGCTTGGTATTGTTACTTATCGTTATTTTATCTTTGACTTTATGTTTCAGACTGTAAATAGCGAGTGTACATAGTGTGATAGGTGAGTGAAGTAGGTGAGTGGGAATTTAGTTGACAATGAGTTCGAGCAACAAATCGTCGGTGTCCTCCGGCGGGAGAGGCGCCAACAAGAACAAGTCGTCACAGCAACATGGCAAATCAGATCATCACCCATCCAAATCCATGGACACGGCTAAACATGATAAAACTCAGGTCAGTAACAGTTCAATTAGTATTCTGGTTAAGGAGAGAGTATAACGAATGTATTAATTTTGTTTTTTTTCCTGTACAATCTTGTATTAGCACGGGATATAAAAATACAACTTAATTATAACAGCGAAAACATGTTATATAGAATATTGAAGTTCATGGCATTATAGCTGAATGCTGATCAGATGCGGCACGCACAAATCATTGACACTCGGATGGGAGGTGGTGAAGATCCTGTTTTCAAGGAACGTGTCAAGCAAGTCATGGACATTACACGTCGGTCTGAAGACGAGGTCATCATGGCCTTGCACGACAACGATGGAGATTTCGATCGTGCGGTCAACGATCTCCTTGAGGGTGTCATGACTGAGTGGGAGGTTAAGAAAAAGAAGGCTCGTCAGCCAGCTGGTTCAAAGCAGAATGCTGAGCAGTCTACTGGTCAAGAAGAAAGTGGTGACTGGGATGAAAGACGTAATCAGCGAGGTGGAGGAACTCCCCGAATGCGTGGACGTGGTGCGAATCATGACAATCGTGGATGTAAGTACCAATCCAATAAACAATTTCTTCAAGGAAGATCTTAAAGGATCTACTCACAGTATTATACCTTTTGCTTATAAACATCAGGGCGTGGACGAGAAAACAAGGAAAATGAGAGGAACATGGAAGACAATGCAAGGGACAGCGGGTTCAGTGGTAATAGGCGCGGTGGCAGAGGCGGACCACCTAGATCAGGTCGTGGTGGACGAGGAGGAGGTCGAGGGTTAGGGCCCCGGACTTTCGCAAATCGCGGTGACCACGCATCGTCATCCTCGGCTCACAGTTTCAGCCGCCCGATTGATACTTGGACGGGCAGCGAGGAGCAACAACAGCAGAGCATTCAGGAACCGAAAATGGGTAAGTCCCTTTCCCCTATTCTCACCGTAAACTCACGCTCGTTCCAAACTACCCGACACAATAGTCGAGAGAGTTTTGCACGACCCTGTGTTTGCCCTTACCAAGATGCCTGGAATAATTTGGGACCGACAGAAGACTGGGACAACGAGGAGTACACTGGTTCACTGGCGGACACGAAAGTCTTCACCCCTAGCACCACTGTTATCGAGCCTTCTGCGACGCTTGAGGAATCAAAGCCTCAAGATTCTCAGCCTGTTCAGTCCTTAACCTTGTCGCCTTTGCAACAGCAGCAGCAACAACAAGATGTAAGACATTTATAATAACGTTTTCCGTCTGTTTTATAAATCCTGGACGTTTCTGGTATTTAATTTAATTGTTCGCCAAGGATTTATCCAAGTTGTCAGAGATGCCGGTGATCCAGCAACAACAACAGCTTCAACAACAATCACTTGTTCAGCAAGTTCAGCAGCAGCCACCTGCGCAACAAGGGCAGGCGCAACAACAACAGGCTCAGCAGGTACAACAATCGCAACAGCCTTCTGTTCTGAGCATGCCGACGATGCAGCTCTCTCAGCAACCTAGTGTTGTTGGCGGCGGAGTCCTTACAGCTGCTCAGACTCAGTACTTGACACAACTCACTCAGCAAACGAGCGAGAGTCTCAAGGCTGCTGCAGCTCAGACGCCATTCTCGTCAACAATGAGTAACCAGGTGTGTTTAAATATTATTACTACTATTATTATAAAACAAATAGAAATATCGATCTGACTTATTATATACTGAATGATAAACGTGCACATGATATTAAACATTCGCCTTTCAGCAGCCCCAAAGACAACCTAAACAACGACCAAGGGTGCCACCACCTTCGAAAATCCCTTCAAGTGCAGTCGAGATGCCTGGTGATGCTGTGAACAGTGGAATTGGCTTTCTGGATGTGCAATTTGGCGCCCTTGAATTCGGTAGTGATTCTGGCTCCTTGGATGGTTCGGCGACGGACAAATACAACTCTGCGAATTCGGCCATCAGCGGGCTGGATGTAAGTTCTGCTGGAAATCCTGGAAACGTTGCGAACTCGTCGAATTCTTTAGATATTGAGACAAGTCAGACAGCAACCAATCAATTCAACACTGCCTCGCAGATGGTGAGCATGATTGACAATACAAAGAGTAAAGATGTGGAGATTGTCATGACAATTATCTAATAATAGCGAGTGAGGATATAATGGGATACTTAATTTTTTTTTCCTATGTAGCTTTCGAACAGTGAAAGTTTACCAGTATCTGGGGATCACTCGTTGAATTCCCAGGGTGGATTCGCTGGACGTGGAACGAATGCAGGGCAGTCTCTTGACATGAAGCAGGAGTTCGGCGCCCAGGTTTCACCAGGTAACGCAGCACCGTATGGAACGACACCCAGCTATCAATCCCAGAAAAATAGCTACCAGCAAGCCAGTGCCACGCCAAACTACAATGCCTACTCGACGAATGCACAGTCAGCGCAATCTTCCTTCCCAACGGCATCTGGAGGAAACAGCAACAGCTACTCTGGTAGCGCGACGGTATCGCAGGCAGGTTACAACACCGCGTCCTCGTATCCGCAGTCCAACGCTTCTACCTTCAGCCAAGCTTCCCCTTCTGCGTCCACGTCCTCAGGCTATAACCAGACGACCACCGCTAACCAGGTAAACGATTATCCTCTCTAACAACCAGCCGGCTATCATCCTCATATATTTTGAGCGTAATTCAATATCTTTAATTGATCAACGCTAACTAATCTCGTAGCAATTTTATTAATTTGTGATGATAACGTTATAGAGTTACCAGTCAGCGAGTGGTTACGCTCCGACCACGACGTCCCAATATCAGCCCCAATCCGTCGCGACAAACACCGCGTCGAATAGCAATTCAGGATATCAGACGACCGGATATCAAGGTTCATCGTCATTTCAATCAACTCCACAAGCCTATCAGCCGTCTGTTACGACTTTTACTTCGCCGATTACTCAGGCATCCGGTGGTTATCAGAGTGCGGCTCAATCTGTAAGATACATCATCCTCATGCTTGCCTCAACATCTCGTTAGTCATCCTTAGTAATTTCTTTCTTTTATCAGGTTTACGCTAGTGCTTATGGCAGTTATGGAACGCAACCTCAAACTGGGTCTCATAATCACAAGCTAAATAGTAGTTCGAACAAGGATTCTCAGTATGATGGCAACACAACGACATCCACCGGGTCCACCGGCTCGTTGGCCACTACCACGGCACCAGCCCTGGGACTAACTTCTGCGTCAGTTAATAGTTCGCAGACCAAAGTCACAAGTTCAAATGGTTAGTAGATCTTTTTAGCACGTTGAAACACAATGACCATGTAAAGTCTCCTTGAAATTATATGTTACCCAGCTGCATAGTTAATTTAATTTTCTTTAATCTACTTCCTTCGATGTAGCTGTACCCAAGAGCACGTCGAGTGGTGTCGTAACTGGCAGCGGCGGAACAGGAAGTATGACTGGTGGTGGCGCAGCCGGAAATATGACTCCCATGCTTAGTCACCAGTACATCATGGGCCAGGGTATGCCATACGCCGCCTTCCAGCAACCTATGTACAGCTATGAAGATCTTCAACTCATGCAACAGAGAATACCGCACATGGTCAGTCTCCGCTTTATTAGTAAACGTATCACTGCACATTATTATGGATCCGTTAAACTATATATCCGCTACACGGGCACACGAAAATATTTTATTTGGTGCTTGGTAGCCGCTCGAATTTATCAAATTTTATTTACCTCGTATTTGTTTCGTTCTCTTGTAATTTTATTTTTTAAATATTTTTTAATATTTTTCTATCTTCAAAATGTTAGATTTTCCAATTCCTTTCCTACGATAATTATTAGATCCTTGAGACTTTTGCATCAACATTTTATACACAATTTCTCACTAGATATTCAGCCTCTGAAGGGTATCCGGACGAGATGGTACACAGCCTGTACATTATGTACTTGTAGATGTTATAGCTTGATCATGGACTTGGATGATGTTGTCTCCACCTAGTGTTTCTCTTCTCCTATATTTCTTTGTTGAACTTTCCTTTTATTCCTTGTCAAGGGTGTTGTATATTGGATATGTCTTGAGATTAGATATCGGATCTTGTTTATTACTTAGCCTTTAAGCACGAAATGAAGCTGTGTCTTGCTCGGTGAACTGTGCAGAGTCGTGCGCATCTTTTCTCAGGGGAACGTGGAACGAAGGGGAATCCCCGTGTCGTGTGGGCGTGCGCGCGTGCCTGCGTGGACACGTGTGCTATGAAAGAGCGGTAGAAGAAATAAAAGAACCAAAGGAAGTACCAAGTGGTTCAATGTTAAAAGGGAATTTGGGAAAGATTCATAAGGGTTGTAATAATATAAACATAAAAGAAGAGAAAGGTCTAGAGTACTTTGTAAATTCATTCAGAGAGAGAGAGAGAGAGAGAAGGAGACACACGCACATACACAGCTGGCCGCTCGCCGCTCTTCCTGACCTGGTTCTTCCGCGTAGCTATTAGATATTAGCTAGTCTCCTCGTATCTGGAGTACACAGTGTATGCATGTAGTTTTGTGTTTGGCCTTCCTGACTAACCTGCAGCCAACTACTGGTTACTATGACGCGGCTCTGGGCTATCAGACGACCGGCCCTGCGACAAGTCTTGGAGGTGGTCGAGGTGACGCTCTGACGGGCGTGCAGGGTGTCCAGGGAGTACAGGGCGTGCAGGGTGCCTACACCAGTATTAGCGATGCCAGATTCGCCAGAAACGACAGCAATGCTTCACCTGTTCCTTCTACGATGTCGCAACAGGTAAGCGTATCTCAGGGCGACCTGTACCTCGATCTCTTCTTCGGGGCGATCCTCTCAATCTACGATCATTTATATTTCCAGACTGCAACGCAACATCAACAACCTATGATGAACCCGACCCTACCACCGGGGTACGCGTACTTTACCTATGGAGGAGGTTTGATGCCTGGCAGTTTCCAATTCGGAACCCCTGCGATTTATCCCGTAAGTCTCAGAAATCCTGTTTAGTTGTATAGTAAAGTTACAGGTTTCTTTAATCCATATCCTGACATCCAATTGCAGCAGATAGCTACAGCCGGAAACGCAGGAACGAACAGCGGTGCCTATAGCGCCAAACCAGGTAGCTATGGCTCGGGTTATGGTGGTGGCGCAAGCTACGATGCTTTGGCCAGCGCTGGACCTACTGGAGAATACAAAGGTGCTGGTAGCGGTTACACCGGGACACAAGCAGGCAAAGCGGGAGCCTCTACTGGTAACGCAAACTCAGGAGGATCATCCGCAGCCGATATCAGCGCCACCATGTATGCTAAAAGCCACGTAGCTTTGAGTAAAGTCAACGTGAGTATCGCCCTCTAAAACAGACAATGGTACTACGCTTTGCAGACATTTAGTACCTTGTTTGACAATCGTGATTCTCTCAGCAGTCTTACGACAAACAAACTTTTCACTCGGCGACACCACCGCCGTTCGGTCTCACCGGGAGTCAAAGCGCTGGAATGCCAGGTGGTTACGCGACGCCTCATCTTTTTATTCCGACGATGCCGCATCAGCTCCACCAGCCGCTGCATCCAGATGGTGGTAGCAGCACTGGCCAAAGATCCAACGCAAGCTCCCAGAACAAAGCCCAGGCCAAGCCTGGGTACAGTTCCAATTACTGGACCAGCGGTAACTAAGGGCTCCCTCAGGATTCTACTGACAATGGAGATCAGGATGGACAGTCAGGCCCCCCTCCCCTTTTTAACCCACCACCACCACTTCATCCCCATTTGACATTTCACGCACATCTTCGGAATACACATTGCTATACTCTTTGGTAGAGATGCTACACAAAACATCCCTGTCCCGCTCCATCGTGAAAGACGGGAAGTTTGGACACCAACAACCAACGTCATCCTCTGACGTATCATGGAATTAAGATGATAACAGATGAGATACAATTTAGAGACATTCTGATATATAAATGAACATCGCGTTGTTTGTCGGGAGCAAAAATATAAATAAACTAACAAAAAAAGAAAGAAGATCAAAGGAACAGATTCGCCTTTGTGAAAAAGTGTGAAGGATAGGTAAAAATTCAATGCCCGCTAAAAGGATTTATGGTCGAAACTTCGTACTAAGCTGGGCGTTGGCTCCTTTATTTTCGGAGCTTTAGAAATATCCATGTAGACAAAAATGAAGGGCGTTAAGAGAGCAGTCAGGACGAGGTTAAAGTTACATGTGGCGACAAAACGATTATGCAATTTCTTTCTTCTCCTTTTTTTTCATTGCGAGTTCTTAGTAGATGCAAAGAGAGAGGGAGAGAGCCCTGCGAGCTTTTCTTTAAGCGTTTTACTTTTTCCTTTTTTTAAATTATATGACTGCGAGTCACGTGCGAGGTACGGGAAATGGTATCTGTATATTCAAACGTAGCGTTTAATAAAGTAAAAGAGCGATTAGGAACGTATTAGCGAGAGAGAGAAAGAGAGAACGTGAAAGCGTGCAAGCGTGTATGAAACTGTGAGAGTAAATGGGATTTAGCTAATGAATGTTTCAGAATTTTGTCATGCTTTCTTTTAACACTACAAACGAGCAGATAATACCCGAACGAGATACTCTGGCTAAGATGAAGAGAGAGTGCTTTGCCAAATAGAAGTCTCTCCTCATCTTCCCGGATCTAAGGATGAGACTGTTTTCTCTTTTTTTTTTTTAAATGAAACACGTACGCACGAGATGATATGGGAAACAAAGTTTTTATTCGAGGATGTGATCTGTAAGAGTTAGAATAACGTGTAACGTAGCTCGTTGCTTCGTAACGGGTAAAATGGCACCAGTACCTACATGCAGTTAGTAATTTTTGTATTTTCAAAATATGAACCGAATATCCGCAATAGAAAGATTCAACGTAAACGACGCAATTAGCGAAACATGTCTTAACGTTCCATCCTCGTTTCCGTTCTTTGTTACTTCCGGTTCTTCCAACTCTGTCCTCGGTATACATCTTATTCCTCATTGACTTCCGTCTCTTTTTTTCTGTCCTTTGAACAGGATATCAATTTGTTTCATGCTCATGTCGCACAGACCCAACTTTATTATTCGTTTGCACATTTTGTATACTTGAATCGATAGAGTCGTGCCAGATATATTTATATATTTCGAGTGACAGGTTCTTAATGTATTTCGATCATATTGTGGTTTTCCTGATCTTTTTAAAGATTTCAAAAGTGAATTGACATATTAAGTAGACGGGACTGTGGTTATTGTTTTTTCTTACCGCGTCTTTAATGCTCTTCCGTTTGGGAGCTGTGTTCATGCCAAATGAGAAAGAGAGTGGAATATGAAGAGAGGTAAAAAAAAAAGTAAATGAAATGAGGAAAAATGTGGTGGACACGAGGTCGGAAAACAATGTAAAAGAAATTCGCAGTGAAAAATTAATATAAGAGCGTGACGAGAAGATTAGGAGGATACTAAGTAGCTTTTTCGAGTATAATAAAAATAATGGCGAAAACATAAACGGATGATTTAGTGTATACTGGTGAATTTGCTCTTACGTTGCCACGAGGACTCTTTCAAGGGTGACGAAATTATATATATTGTTTCTTCTCTTGTAATTGATGAACGTGCGTTAATTAACGATCCTTATTTTTCGCGAGACTCGATTATCGTTCGCTCCTTACATTACTGTCCTACGCTCGCGAATGTCTGTAATTTATCTTATCCTCCTTCAATCTGACGTCTTTCTTTTCTGCTTTTATTTTATTTTTTTTCATTTACGTTCATCTCTTCCGTTGTTCGGAGAACCAATCAATCGGTTAACAATTTTTTTCTCGATTCGTATGATTTCGTGATTCTCATTGTGAGGAATTCTCGTGCGTTAGAAATACCGTAACAAAGAAAACTCAATGGTTCTCCAATGGAGGAATAATTAGGTCTGAAGGGACAGCGTATGAGAATCCGGAGGAACGGAGGGATATTATTTCTCGGTTAGCAGTCTTGGCGTTTATACAATTTATTTCTTCGATGCGCCAATAAGTTGAGAGAGAGAAAACGATAAATTCGAGAATTAGCAGAAATATCCCTTGCGTTCTACAAATTCTTTTTGCGATTATACGCATATAAATATATGTATTTGAAATACTGCCTTGCGCCTGTTCACATTGTAAATTATCCCAATCTACATATATTTTTTTCTTTTCTTTGCGATTTTGATATTTTTTTTCGGTCGACACTTCTTGTCCTGCATCTCGTCAAGGACACTGACAAAGGGTTCACCGACAATGGCCGGGCTATCAATTATCGTTAATATAATTATTTAGTTAGTTCGTATCGAGGGTCGATCGATGAATATAAATATATATAATAATAATTATTATAATAATGAAAAGGAAAAGTGGTATCGAGAGTGAGAGAGAGAGAGAGAGAGAGAGAGAGAGAGAGAGAGAGAGAGAGCGAGAGTATGCGTGTGTGAGAAGAGAAGGAGGGAGAAAAGGTAGAGAGACAAAATAATTGTAATAAGAAAGCAAAGTTAAATGTTTTTGTCGAGTGAATTCGAGTGTGTTAGGTAAATCGTATAGAAATTTTGTTTGGCGCCAATTAATTAGGTGATAATAACGAGGCAAGAAATGAAAAAAAGAAAAGAAGAGAATAAAGTAGAATAAAAAGAATTGTGAGAAATCACGGGGCACTCCAATCGAACATCTTGAACGACACCGGCAATAGTTTTATTATGACTTGTCGAAAAGACTTTTCTTGCATTTTGTATTGGAGAAAAGAAAAAAGAAATAGAGAAGTGCTCATGGCGTGTAACATTGTCTTTTTTTTTTACTTGAAAGGACTCGAGAGGAGGATTTATTGATGTCTCGGGTGTTTCTAAATTTATGAAGTGACCATATACAAAGTTCTCATTAGAAAGTAGCTTTTTCAGTCTCTCTCCTGCTGTATAACAGATCAGATCTATTGTTTATACGAGAAATTGTGATTTTCGCGAAATTTATAAAATTCGCGGTATCTCAAATCGTCCTGAGCTGCCCCTTCAACTTCTTCTCTCTTGACTTCTTGATTAATTAGGTCTACTGAAAAAAATGTACCATTATAGAAATTTATATGGGATATAAAGCTCCGAAGACAAAGAATAAGTGAAAAAGAATAACACGTGGCCAAGACAGAATTTAATCGTTTCGTTTGGTTTTTAATTAAGGAATATTTTGTTAATTTTTATTCTTACCGCGTCGCCCACCGTACACGATACGCGCGTTATCAGGCTCGCGTGTGCACGTGATCATACATATACACGAAGGACTACGGAAAATACAAAGGACACAGAAAACGCGAATGAATTTTTAGGATAAATATAGTAAGTGTAATGTACGATGAGTTAAAGAGATACGCGAATGAGATTGTCGATGGAGATAGATGAGAAATTATGAATAAAATCAGAAATGGTTTAGTGTCAGAGGATGAAGTATAGAAGTACATACTATCGTAGGTTGTAAGGGAAAAGGAAGAAATTAAGGTAAAATTGAATGATGGTTTATTAATGAAGAGAGGCAGTTTAAGGTTAGATTAAAGAAGAGACGATAAGGGGGAGAGGAGAGTGAGGGAAAAAAAGAGAGAAGGAAAGTTAATTTAAAATATGAAGAAAAAATATGAAAAAGTGTCGCATAGCAAAGCGCGTTCGTTCTCGTAATAATTATTATACCTTAATAATTTTTGTATTTTTGTCAAATATTAACCGAATGATCGAAAATGCAAAATGCATTACGCCACTACTGCTAACTACTATATAATTATTAATAATAGCTACTACTGTGTATAAATATGGATATCTAAGAATAAATGTATCAAAAGGATCATGTGTTCACGTGAAAAAGTAAGTCTGATTTGTTTGGATGGGAGGAATGTCTTTCTAAAGATTAAACAAAATTGTACGAACTTTCATTTGAATTTAAATATTGGGGAAATGTTGAACGATCGGCGAAATAGTGGCGCCATCTTTAAAGTGGTATGGGAATTTTTAAGATGCTTTTCTCGATCGGGAGTGTAGATGCATTTGTAATGTTACCAGCAGTCGAAATTGCAGATCGGATATAAATTTATTTTTATTCTTGGACGCTAACACGAGAGTTCGATCAATGGCGCTCGGAATTCTTCCCGCGTTTACGTAGCACGTAAAGAGAAATAGGATAAACGTCAATAACTATTTTTGTTGATTTCCTCGTACAACATCTGAGATTCATTGTGGCAATGCGGTTTTCGTGACTTGATCCATACTTTTATATTATATTATACAAATGAATCTTTGAGCGATACTTATTCATTCCTTGGACTGTTTTATTTGATATCCTTTTATTATCTAGAAAAAGATATAACCGGTTAAGATGATGCATCGTAGAGGAGGAAAAAGAATCCGCATGGATGATCCTGTGCCTCCTGAGTATGAGGCACCGATGACTCCAATGACACCACTCAATGACAATTCTGGAGGGGACCAACAAGATTCGTATTCTGCATACACTCCGTACAATCAACCATCAAGGACTCCAATACACAATCCTACGTATGATTGATACACAATGCATATGGGCTAACTTAAACTCACAATACTCTTAAATTTGTTGTATAATTTTTTATTGTTCTCTTGTTATAGACCAGAACACTATTTTTCGGAAAACTATAGTTCTCCAGGAACTTCACAGCAGCCAGGTCAGGAGCAGCCTGGTAGTACTTTTGATGCACCAGCACTGTTTGAACAACCGTCAACTCCAATGACTCCGGCCAATATGAGAATAACAAGAAATACCCGTGCTAGATTGCGAGGTAGTAATGATTCAGAGCATTAATTATAATATTCTACTGTGTAAACGTAGTTACATTAAAGTATCCTTATCGTCAATGAATCTATTTTTGTTCTTAGGTGGAACAGTGCAACAACCGAAATACAAAGAAATTGATACCGACTATGTACCTGCAGTAGGAAGCGGTGGTGGTGGTAGTGGTGTTAGCGGCGGCGGTGGTGGTGGTGGTCGTGGTAGAGGTGGAGGAGGACGAGGTCGAGGAAGACGAGCACTCCATCCACACAGTCTCGAAGACGAGGCTAGCCTTTACTATGTTATTAGAAATAATCGATCGTCTCTTACTGTAAGCCATTGTAAATCTACTAACAACATAGTGTCAAAAGGCTTGTCTACATGTAAAAAAATTTACAGAGCATCGTTGATGATTGGATTGAAAAGTACAAGAGTAACCGCGAAAATGCTCTTCTAATGTTGATGCAATTTTTTATTAATGGAAGTGGATGCAAGGGACGAATTACACCAGAAATGCAAGCCACTATGGAGCATGTTGCCATTATTAGAAAAATGACTGAAGAGTTCGATGAGGTACAGATCGATCACTTTGAAATATTGATTTGAAACAGACACAGTGAAATCATCTTATCCTGTTTGTATTACTCCTCAAGGAAAGTGGCGAATATCCTTTAATTATGACTGGACAACAGTGGAAGAAATTTCGTGCAAATTTTTGTGAATTCGTGCAGATTCTCGTACGTCAATGTCAATATTCCATAATATATGATCAATTTTTAATGGATAATGTCATCTCCCTCTTGACTGGGTTATCCGATTCACAAGTGCGAGCATTCAGACACACCGCTACTCTTGCAGGTACGTAATGCTTTAAGAAATAAGTAAAATTGTTATATCTGATTTTTAATAATCTTATTTACTTCTATAAGCCATGAAATTGATGACTGCTCTGGTGGACGTTGCTCTGACCGTCTCAATAAATTTGGATAACACTCAACGTCAGTATGAAGCAGAAAGACAAAAGGCTAGAGAAAAAAGAGCAGCCGACAGGCTGGAGTCACTAATGGCGAAACGTAAGGAACTTGAGGAAAATATGGATGAAATAAAAAACATGTTAACCTACATGTTCAAGTCCGTCTTCGTACATCGGTATCGAGACACGTTACCAGAAATACGTGCGATTTGCATGGCAGAGATTGGAGTCTGGATGAAAAAATTTCACCAGAATTTCCTTGATGATTCCTACCTGAAATATATAGGTACGTAATATAATGACCGATAGATAATAAGTAAGATAAGTAATATATATTTGTCAGTGAATTGTTTCTGCAATTCTGTCAGGATGGACACTTCATGATAAGGTCGGCGAAGTGAGGCTAAAGTGTCTTCAGGCATTACAGCCTCTTTATGCATCAGAGGAGCTGAAAACAAAGCTTGAATTATTTACAAGCAAATTTAAGGACCGCATAGTAGCAATGACCCTGGACAAGGAATATGATGTCGCTGTCCAAGCGGTTAAGCTGGTGATTTCTATTCTGAAACATCACAGAGAAATCCTGACTGATAAGGATTCGGAGCACGTATATGAACTGGTGTATTCATCGCATCGTGCAGTGGCTCAGGCAGCTGGGGAATTTCTAAACGAGCGATTATTCATACCAGACGAAGAAGCTGTAGCTGGTGTTAAGACAAAGCGAGGAAAGAAGAGACTTCCAAATACGCCGTTAATTAGGGATCTGGTGCTCTTCTTCATAGAGTCTGAACTTCATGAGCATGGAGCATATCTGGTAGATTCTTTAATTGAAACTAATCAGATGATGAAGGATTGGGAGTGCATGACAGACTTGTTACTCGAAGAGGCTGGATCTGATGAGGAAGCTCTTGATAACCAAAAGGAAACTTCTCTGATAGAGTTAATGGTTTGTTGTATAAAACAGGCTGCTACTGGAGAAGCGCCTGTTGGAAGAGGTCCGACCAGGAAGATTCTGTCGGTAAAGGAACTCAAGCAAGTCCAAGACGATAAACAGAGACTTACCGAACACTTTATTCAAACGTTGCCCCTTCTTCTGGATAAATATAGAGCAGATCCTGAGAAGGTTGCCAACTTATTAGCTATACCCCAGTACTTTGATCTGGATATATATACGAAGTCGAGACAGGAAAAAAATCTGGAGGCTCTGTTAAATAAAATTCATATGATTGTGGAGAAGATGCATGATACTGAAGTTCTGGATACCGCCGCCAAGACCCTGGAGTATATGTGCGTGGAAGGCCACGCGATTTTCACTAAGTGTGACGTAGCAAGATCCACCCTGATCGACTCCATTGTTAATAAATACAAAGAAGCCATCGACGAGTATAGAAATCTCATAGAGGGCGAGGAGGATCCTGACGAGGATGAGATATTCAACGTGGTACTTTCCTTGAAGAAAGTCTCCATATTCTACAGCTGTCACAATATGAATCCTTGGGGTATCTGGGATTCTCTGTACAAGGACATAGAGGATGCTAAAGACCCAACTAGATGTTTGCCCCACGAAGCAATCAAGTACTGTATTAGTGCGTGCTTCTTCGCCATCCTCTGGGGACAACGTCACCTCATGGAGGCGAATGATTCTGGAAGCCGTGGCGAAGACGAGAGTAGACAGCTGAGGGAACGTCTACATGCATTCATGGGTTCAATGCGTAGTTTTGTTAGCGGGGATGGAATTGGTGCACCCTCACCGCCGGTCCTCAGGGAGGAAGCGTACAATACGATTTGCGATCTTCTGGTGGTTTTTTGTAACCAGTTAACGAACCAGTCAAATCCCTTGTTACACCAGCTGGTATATGAACCTGATCAATCCATGCAAAATATGCTTAATCATTTCATCCAAGAGTACGTCTTCGTCGAGGAAGAGGATGGCGAGCATGATGAGCACTCCAAAATCGAAGAACTTCACAAAAGGCGAAATTTCTTAGCTGGTTACTGTAAACTTATTGTTTATAATATGATACCTACCAAAGCAGCCGCTGATGTATTCAAGCACTACGTGAAGTACTACAATGACTATGGTGATATCATTAAGACCACCTTGGGCAAAGCAAGGGACATCAACAAGACTAACTGTGCTTTGACTATGCAACATAGTCTGAATATCCTTTACAACGAGATAGTTGCTGAAAAAGGTAGAGTCAACCGGAACAGCGAAGAATTTACAGCTATAAAGGTAAGAGTTTTCCAAGTGAATTTTCTTTCAAATTTATTTTATTTTAAAACGTGGACAGGTGCGCCCATCTATTTTTATTCTTACTAAATATTTATGTTCAGGAACTGGCCAAGAGATTTGCACTATCCTTTGGATTGGATGCTGTGAAGAATCGTGAAGCTATTACTGCTCTTCATAGAGCTGGCGTGCTCTTCGCCATAACTCCGCCAGATGGTGTTGAACTCGATCCAACTGGTCCACCGCCGAATTTACCATTCCTTGAAATTCTTTCTGAGTTCACCAATAAACTTCTCAAGCAGGATAAGCGTGTAGTGTGAGTTTGATTTTTATTACAGTCTTTAGAGTGTATCTATAAAGAGCAGTATATTTAATTTTGGGATTTTTTTACCTTTGCAGATTAAACTTTCTTGATAGAAGACTTCAAGCTGGAATGCCATCCTCTAAGGGCGAAGATTGGCAACCCTTATTACTCTACCGGAACAGTTTGCTACATGGTGAAACAGATCAAGTGCCAGTGACAAGTAAACGAGCTTATACGAGACGCAAGAAGGATCATCTGGCCGGTAAATATTTATCGATTTTTGTATTGATTCTTATTTTCTTATGAACTTATTTTTATTCAGTGTTCTATATTTATCTCATATTTTATTACAGAAGAGGAAGAGGCCGACGAGGCGGACGACGGTTCCGATCACGAGTTTATGGGGTGAGTCGGCCGTTAAATCCGAACGTCGATATAAGCAGGCAATATCGAATTAATTTCATTAATTATTTTTCTTTCTTTCTTTTTCTCTGTCTTCAAATATTCTCATTAAAAAGTCTTCACTGAGACTCATTGATGGACCAGTATCTCATTCTTGTCTCCCAATTAGTTTAGATTGCCTAGCCCAGCGTAGTTTGCTTTTACCTTACTTTCAATTTGGCACTCACTAACGCTTCATCATACAATTCTTGGAATTATCAGCAGTGATCCTCGCTCGTTTTATATGTGTATTTGAGCGATTTTATTTTCATTTTCATTTTTCACCTCCTGCTTCCTATCCACACCGTCACTGCCATTTTCCATGAGTAGCGTGGAAGTTAAACACCCAATCATACTTCACCCCTTTCAGTATTGGATAAATACTGTTGAAGTATGTACTATACTATAAAATAAAACTGCAAGGGGTTTAAATATTCAAAACCATTTCAGAGGCATTACTGACACAACATTATAAATATCACAAACATTCCTAAAACTTTACCTATGCAAGTAACAATAAGCAGTCTAAAATTTGATCTTATAACAATTTACCATATTATTAAAATAAAACGAGCCAGGATCTTCGCAAAATTATAGAAAATGGGAATCTATCGAACAGTAAATTAATCCTTATAATACACTGAATTGACCTTTGAAAGTTGAAGCTTGTGTAAATTATATCCTGCTTTGACGTACAGCAAAATACATACAATCTTGAAAGCTTAGAAGATTAAGGTGATTAGAGAACTATTAGCAGTATGTAAATATAACATGGGAGTAGAACAATGATTTTAAAAAAAATTTTCTCGATCCCTTATCACTGAGTGTTATCTGATATAAGACTGTGAATATAAGACCTCGTTAGCGTTTATTCCAATTATATTGGTAATGAGCTCTATGCAAATGACAAAGAAATACGAACAACATGAATTGTACAACATGAACGAGAGTACTACACTGAACAAGAATCTTTGTACAAAAATCTATTTTTACACATAGTGTATTGCTCTTGAGCCTTATACGTATATGAACGTAGGCATTATTATGCAATGTGGCTCTTTTAGTAGTAAGTCACGCTGCTGCAGATGTTTACGCGCGTACGCGCCACGTTAAAAAATAATACAAATTGATCATAGACAAGGATAATGTGATATTAATTGAAACGATACCCAAAATCCTGTCACTCCTGGATCCTATACCACAGTGAATATTATCTAAAATCTTTATATACTTTTTGAAACTTTAATCCTCTTACAAAAAATCTAAATGCCCCTTGTCAAAATTTATTACACCCACGTGGACACAGTGCGCGTGGTTAAAGAATTTTAAAAAATGTCAGAAAACTATACAGATCTGCATGTTTTAGTGCGTCCGCGCGTAATAACTGTGCTTGATAAAATGATAATGAAAAATTGATGATACATAATAAGTCAATAATCATAGGATTAAGTTTCGATAACTCTTAGAGAGACTCTGATTATGTTATTTAATTATTTTTATTTTGTTGCCTTTGCTGCTCTCTATTGCCATTATATTATATAGGTATTGTTATTCGATATCTATTTCTATGTTTACGTATTAAGTCTTACGTATTGTTTATGTAAATATAATGCTAACGGAACATACTGCGTTCATGAGACAATTTTGATGCTCGTGATGTTTCTGTTATGCGAAAAGAGAACATTGGATTGGATATTCTCTCCAAGCTAAGAGACAGTCTATTCTTGTCTCTTTGGTTGGATAGTTGAAAAATTTCACGAATTCATCTGGGCCAACAAGGTGAATGGACGCTTTTTCTTTCAGCAAGCACAAGAAAAAACGGGGCCAAAGGAAGACTCAGTGAGTAATTTGTATCCAAGAGAGAAATCAGTGTGTAGAAGAATATTCGACAGCATCCAAGTCTTCGTGGGAATGATAAGAGATAATGATTCTTTCAGGATAAGTATGGACAGAAAAATTGGCATTTCACGTGCGAGAACCTCCAGTTTTCACGAGAGTATTGAACAGGCAGGAACACCATTATCTCCGTCGCATATCCTGGATGAAATCTCCACCAGTCCTTCACAGGATATCGACAACCGGCTCAAGTCGTTGCAAATACAATCCTCAAAGCCGTGAGTCTTCTGTTCTTCTCTGTAGTAAATTTACATCAGTCCTCTGTAGAAATTGTCTTGTTTGTATTTGTAAGAATATCTTATTTCGATTCGTCAGACGAAAGAGTCAGGATGGTCCTGAACCGAGAGAGTTGAGAAGAACCTCCAGGAACTCTGGTCGCTATGTGGAAGGACAATATATGGTTTGTATTGTAGAAATATTTTTGTTCTGATACTAATGGGTTTATTGATAGTTAATGAATTAAGTACTGATTATAGTCAAAATTATTGTCTTCTCTCTTTCAGGAATCTGATTCGGAGTAAAACTTCTTCTTGGAAGATTCTTTAATTGGATGACAATAGTTACGATGGGATAAATTGTTCCTTTTTTTCTCGTTCATGCCAACCAGGCCATTGTCGAAATTCCCTTGGACGAGAAATTTCTTCTTACTTTCCCTCGCTTTGACTGATTCCATTTTTTTTTATTACGTCGCGTTACGTTTACGTATTGTCAATGTTATTGGTGTCAGTTCTTCGACAGACAGTGAAATGTCAGCAAAAGTGCAGCATCGAAGCCAGCTGGGCCTAGCCCAACTTTGAAGCTTTGCACAGAAGAAAGTAACTGAGCAGCGAATATGTTTTATTAATAAGTGATAGATAAGTGACGATATTAATTTTATTAAGAGATATGTTGAAGGGTCACCGTGATTTTTGACCTTAACTGATACTAACGAATAAATTCTATTGCGCACAGTGTAGTGGTCAGGACTCTCACCGAGTTTAAAATCTAATAGTATTAAGGATTTTTAAATAATAAAATTTCAGAAGTTCCTGAAGAGATGACGACACATATACTACGTAGATGGTGCTACCCTTCATTAAGCAGATATTTAATGAACTACAAAGTTCATACCTAACATAAAGACTAACAATAGGTATTTATCATTATTTTAAAATTTTATTTAGATATATAGACATAGCAGTAGCTCCTAAATCTCATGTAGGTAAGCTATTATGTTATCCAGTAATCTGTTTATTTATATTTATACGAAATTCCTAAGATTCCTAAATTCAATGCTCGTTTGAAAGTTTAAAATTAGCAATAACATCTATGTAGTTTTCAATTGGAAGGAAAGATTGGGATATGAGTATTAGAAATTTGTTGAACAAAGTTACAATAAGAAAGTGTGCTTATTAAGCATGTAATAAGTATATTTTTCAAATTGTTCTGAATGTATATGCATATCTATATCGCACGTTAATGAGTGTGGTTTGAGAACACACCAAAACATTTATTGTGACTCGTTCTCTCTAGAGAATTAAGAATCTCACGAATATCAAAGTATGCACATTATTCTATTATTTTCCCATTGTTGTTCTTACTGCTATATTTATTCTTCCTCATACTTTTGCGAGGCCAAGAAATTCTTGATGGCTTCCATGTCCCTTGCATGCCAGGCGGCATTAAGGCGAATAGTTTCGACGCTTTGCTGAACCGTTCTCTCAGTACCAGGTATAGGATGCTTGGCGAAGAAGTCTTCCACGTCGCGCGCCGCCTCCTCCGTTACAAAGTTTTCTGTAGTGAACTTGACGAGTCGAGTAAGTAAGAAAGCACCTTCATAACGATCCATGAGTTTTTTCCAGTTGTCCTTGAAGAAGCGCCAAGCGAGCTGACGACCTCTGTAGTTCATGGCAACAGACATAATGGAGAAAACGGTATCCTGAGCGCGCACTTCGTCGCTCATGGCGAATTCAAGGACCTTGACTAGTAAAGCCTCGTCCTTCAGGGCACCTAAAGATCTTAGTATTCTATCCTTTTCCTCGTGTAGAGTCGCCTCTCGATAGAGCTTTAACATTGTCTCGTAGGTCGTGATATCGCCGACGGAGAGGATCGCCCTGTAGACAGGACTGCGTAGATCCGCTGGGAGTGTTTTCCCTTGAGATACGTAAGCATCGAAACGTACCTTTGCTTCCTCGATGGTAGCCTTATCATTAAGAGCAGCCATGCGCCCTAAGGCCAAGGATCTCAAGAGGGTGTCTAGGTGGTTTTCACCGGATTTAGGATTCCAGCCAAGTCGCTTACTCACTGTGCGCATCAGTGAACGACCGAAGGCTTTAAAGGACTCGTGAGAATCTTCATGGGACGAAACTAAAACGTCGAGTTTACCCATGATGTTGACGATGCTTGACCACACTGTGTAATTGTCCTCATCTTTGAAGGCCTGCATTAGGCGGAGGACTTCTACGGTGGATGTGTGTCCAGCCTGAACCATGGCGAAAAGATCATCTAGGAGTCCCAGCCGGTCGAGAGGTGGAAGGCTTCGATCCTTCACTGCTGGTAACAGAAGCGAAAGGTCCTCGGGACTGTACCGAGTCCTGTAGAATCCTATTGTTCCTGGATTGATCTTGAGCCAGGTACCTTCTGGCACGTTCTTTATGGTAATCTCCTTGGTACGTTCATTCATTATCTCACTAAACGCTACTTGGCCTGGTGCTCGAGATGTGCTCACGCTCACGGGGATCATCCATAGACTCTTTTCTTCGTCTACGGATCCATCAGCCAGAAACCTTTCCTGCGACAAGTTCAGAACTCGGTCATCTCCATCTTGACGTTGCTCTACCTTTAGTACAGGGAATCCTTGCTGTTTGGTCCAGCTGGACATGACAGCGCGTACTGGTTTCTTACAGGACTCCTCCAAGGCAGCCCAGAGATCTTCAGTTTCAGCGTTTGAATAGCTATGACGTGTCAAGTAGAGTTTCATACCCTTGCGAAAGTCTTCGTCGCCGATGTACGAGTGTAACATTCGGATGACACTCGCACCTTTGTGATAAGATATATCGTCGAAGATTTCGTCGATCTCGGAAGGATGTCCTACGGGAACTTCAATTGGATGACTGTTCTTCAGGGCATCTAATTCCAAAGCGCTAATATAGGTGTCTGTTACGAATTGACTCCAGATATCGTACTCAGGAAAGAGATGTGCTACGCAGAGGAACTCGACGAAGGAGGCGTAACCTTCGTTTAGCCATAAATGTGTCCACCATTCCATTGTTACGAGATTACCAAACCATTGATGTGCCAGCTCGTGTGCTACTACCAGAGCAATGTATTGTTTGTGTACTGTAGATGTATTCTCCGGATCCACCAGGAGGCAAACTTCTCGATAAGTGACTAAACCCCAATTTTCCATGGCGCCAGACGAAAAATCAGCAATTGCTACTAAATCTATTTTCGGTAAAGGATACGAGATACCAAAGTAGTTATTGTAATAAGGTAAAACTTTCTTGGCTACTTGAAGAGCAAATTCTCCATGTTCCTTTTGTCCTTTTGGAGTGTACACTCTGACGAGAACGTTATCACTTGTTTTCTCTTGAATGTGATCAAAATCTCCAACCACAAAAGCCACCAGGTATGTTGACATTATCGGCGTAACTTCAAATTCCACGATGGCTACTTCGTCCTTTTTTTCTAGTTTCTTCACGGGCTGAAAAATCAATGGTATATTAGTGAGAAAAGAGTGAAAACTAAATAAGAATAAAGAGAATTGCAAGACGCTGATTACCATGTTGGAAAGAATTGTCTCAGCATTGGATACTTCCAAGGTAATGGCGAATGTGGCTTTGTGGGCTGGTTCGTCCCAGCATGGAAAGCAACGTCTTGCATCAGTAGGTTCGAATTGCGTCACGGCAGCATGCTGAACAGATCCATGGACTCTAAAAAATGTCTTTACTTAAAATTTCGAATCTTGCCATAGCTCACTTACATGGCACGTTATAATAACAGAAAACAAAATACAAACGTTGCCTTCGACATGGCTTCATCCCAACAAAAAATTCCTTTACGAATTTGTGTGGAACAGATATATCACTGTATCCTACTATGCTGAATTAAGATTTCTATATTATGCCCACAATAAAATGTAATAATAAATATGCAGGTATATAACGCAAATCTACTATGTACAAAAGATCTTACTCTGTGCATTTGCTCCTGTAGAAACCTTTCATTTTATCATTAATCTCGCCCTTAAATTTGAGTCTGAGGTATCCTTTCATCTCCGACGTCAATTTCTCAGGGAAAAGTAGTGTAGCTGTTTCTTCCTCACTCGACAACTGTATCTTGGTAACAGCAATGGACTGCTCCGGTTTATAATGAAATGTTACGCTTTCAATTTCAATATCCAAAGAATTCAGTATAATGGTATCGGTTTCTTTATGCACCTGGAATAGTGAAAAAAGCAAGAAAATAAAGATCCTAAAGACAAGGACCATATGGCTAACCCTTCCATAAAGATAGATCAGCACAAATAAAAAGAAGCTGAATCATGATGACCAAACAACCAAAATGGGGTAACTCACATCAATATAAATATTCTCTGTGCCTTCAAAGACAAATTGCTTGAGATCAGGTTTAAGGTAGATCTCATAGTGATAAGGACGAACGACGGTAGGAAGCCGGCAAAAAGGTTTCTTTTCCTCCGCCATTATTATTGTGGTTCTTGTCCTTGCCCCAAAAGATTCCTTTCCTGCCTTTATATCTGTGGATACTGTTCTTTTTTCACGATTTAATTTCCCGTAAATGCACTATATAATCTTATAGTATTGTACTTAAAGATGTTTGTCAATATCAGCTACAAATAACTATCTAAGAAGTACTGCCGCCGCAACTGCCGCTACTACTAGCTATGACTTCTATCACTCACTACACAGTCATGATGAAGCATCGATACATATATATCGATAGTTTAAAGTTACCGTGACTATCGATATAGCAACAATGGAATATGTTCTATCGATAATGCTGAGAGAGAACACACGCGTTCGGTCCCAAGTCATGACTTTCTTTTCACATTATTTAATGCATTTTATTTATTCTATATTATATCCTGAAATAGCAGTACATTAATAGCAATTCGTGTAAAAAATAATTGAGTATTTGTAATAAGTAAAACATCATAGTAGTTAAAGTTATTCTTTAAATACATCATTAAAATTGCAAAAAGCAACATTGTTTTACTTGGTATATTGGAGTAAGTGTCAGTCTCGTAACACAGCGATCCCGGGTTCAATTCCCAGGAGTGGGGTTTCTTTTTTAATATATGCGTATTACTTTCTTAACATGATTTTTCAATGTAAACTTTATGCAAATATATTATAGTAAATGCCAGATAAAAATCAATAGCATTTCATTGCATCGTTCAAAAAGCTTCGATCACACTGTACCGACAGCCTAGCTTCACCCGAGCCTGAGTTTGACCCGAATAATTAAAATTATAAACGCGGGATAATTCCGAGCGCCATGAGATCTGACATAAGATCAGAAAGCGGCGATTATTAGAATTACACCTTTGCTTATAAATTGCAATCAGCGTCGCTCGTCAAAGTAATTTACGAGTCACTCGAGAAGATCGTGATTCTACATAATCGTGGATTTATCGTCGATCCCGTTTACATATAGCCAAGTCGAAAGTCCATCAAGGGAAGCGTTAATAGTCGATCATAAAACGTCAAAGGACCAAACATTTTCGTAAGGTCGGGTTTCTCATTACCATACTTTTCTAATTTCCCTAAGCTTTAACCATACTCTCTAGAATTTGAAAGCAGCCTCAGCACCGCCATGGCGGACATTAAACGAAACATAGGGAGGTCCCGAAACAGGCGTCTCCCCTACAGTACCAGAGCTAATGGAACAGATGATTGGTGTTGTTTTCGGGATCCTGGGGCGTCGGGATACATAACCAAGTAATATTACAGGACAGAATTTTGACCGAGGGTCGTTTTATAAAGATAGGGGAACCCCCGAAGCTCTAAACGAGAAACCACAGAACATGGTTACGCCGTGTCTACAATCCCATTGGCTGACAGTACACAATAGTCCTGCTGTTTCATCCCGAACACTTTTATAATCTTTTGACTACAAAAAAAAAAACTTAAAAATAACGTAGACACGAAAATTAGATAAAAGAACGAGATAAAATTATTAACTTAAAAAAATGAGGAATTTATAAATTAACATTATTATTATTCAACGATTTTTTAAACATTATCATACGCCAAGGTAGATTCTATATTTTTTTCAAATATGAAATTACCATCAGTCAAAATATGTCATTTTTGAAAATTTAAAATATATTTTAACCTAAAGTGACTCTACCTATTGTTAGCCCGACGGAGTCAGATTTTACCTGAAAGTCTTTCTACCCTAAAAATCACTTTTGCCAAAAAAAAAAAAATTGAAACGGAACGAATCGTGTTTTCCAAACACCCTATAGCAATGTGTAGCCAACCTTTCTACACAGTCTATCCCACAAAATAGTTTTGAGTTTAGAGTCCACAAATGGAAAAATCCCGGTGAAAACTAATGTAATTGCTCATCCACGAAACGTCACGTCTCCAGGCTCCATTTATATCAGAAGTCGTACATGGCAATCATAACAAAACCATTGAAACCAAAAGAATAGTATCTAAGATCCAAAAGATTCGAATAATCGATAACAGAAACCAATCCTTGGTTTCACGAAAAAAAAAATTCAGACAACGAATTTCAACCGCTTTCATCAGCGGCAAGGATCAGTCCCCCAGGATGCTGTCTGCATCAAATTAGCTCCTAACGAGTATCCTGTTCCTTATTTATAGAAGCTAGGCTCTAAACGAAAAAAATATAAAACTCTACAGAAATTCCCGAAACGAAACCAGTTCTTTTCATAAGTCCATACGACATAGTATTACGTGCATAAAGAAAAGACAAAAAATAGTAAAAAAAAGAAAAAAACACGAAATCAAAATAATTCAAAATGCATGTAATTCCCAAAAATTCAATTATTTCAAATCTTAACATTATCTTACGTTATAATATTATCTCGTGACGTAGCACGCGAGAGTTGCAGGTAGCGCCACGGTATCACTTCCGCTTCCGGTGAGCGGGTGGCTAAGATATCCAAATGAAATCTTCAAGGGTTAATAAATATTCGGTTATCGCGAGACATGGGGGGTTCCCGAGGGCGCGGGGTTACCGATGCAGACCACGTTGTTAGATAGATGTTATATACATTTATATAGTTCAGTGTATACTTATATACATATATCCATTGACCTACCCACATATCAGCCTCACTTCAACTATATGTGTACGCAAATATATATATATATATATATAGTATAATAAAGCAGAGGTGTGGACTGCCGAGATAGCAGCCACTTGAAATGAAGTCGCGGTTAAGACCAAGTGGTAGTTCAAAAAAAAAAACATGAAACAGCAGTAAGTACAGTACCATACAAAAATTACAACAACCATGTCCCGATACAGTAGTTCAAGTAATTACGAGTCCGTTAGGTCATTACGCAGAGTAATTTTTGAACAGTCGCTTACGGCGAACCGCGTAGAACATAATAAAATAGTTAACGATATAATAATCTAAGATAACCTAACCTAACCAAGCTCGAGTGTTACATACAGATATACCATTTGGCGTAAGAAAAAAGAAAAGATACAACTGGGCCCTAAACGCGACTTCAATATACGAAAGCCGCACGCGCCTTAAGGGCCGTAAGAAGATCGATACGAATTCAATCGAACGGAAGCTGCGTCCGTACTTAAAAGTCATATGAGAAAAAGGTTACTGTATAAATGTATATATGCAACGTATATATCCTAACACCCGTTATAATTTCAGAATGACTGAATTAGGTAGTAGAAATCAGAATGAGACAAAAAAGCGTCGACACGAACGTTGAAATTGAAGGGAGGAAAAAAGAAAATAAAAAAAGAATGTATATCGCGTGGGAGAAAAGAAAAAGGATCGCGTTGGGTCGCATTAACCCGGCACGACCCTCGCCACGTAAAGGCGCGTGCTAATAAAACGAAACGTAATAACTAAATGATACGCTATTCGGTTACACGTTACTTGCGGATATAACATAAGGTTGGTATTTCATTTGATATACGTGATCCTCTGGAATTCTTTGAATATATATATATATATACATATATAACAAGTATAGATACTTGAATGAGATATTAATAAAAATTACTATGAAATTATTAGAGTGCGGATTAATGTCTACAAAGCACTACACTAAGTAGACGTTATAACGTGGATAGATCCGGCTATGCCAGATAGGCCATTGGGCAGCAGCAGCAGCTGCTTCAACTACTGATATATAGACATACAATTAAGCAATTATGCGCGCAGTGCGTCTATAAATGAGCGAACTCGGCGCATATAATGTTTTGCAAGCCGCCGCATTCTAACCCATGCATGTAATCCATGTACTTGTATAACTGTGTGCTGATGGGTTTCTATCCTTGTTTGTGTCTATCTCGTGTCTCTGACATTTTGCATAAGAGAGGACCATAATGCGACCGCATTATATAGTATACGTGCCAGGAAGTAAATTGCACAGAGGTACTCTAGCCACGTTATATTACACTTTATCACGGCTATTTTCGCACTATCGTTAGGTACCGGTGTGCTGGCAATATTTGAGGCAGATCATGCTATAGATGATAGGGGAAGAAGACTGAATGGTTCTTCCAGTTTTCATTCTCTGTTAATTGTCGATGGTTTGGATGACAGGTTCGAATTTTTTGGATTACAAAAATTTCTCTGTAATTTAAAGTTACAAGGTTAGTCATTGTTGGACGTAATAAATTGAATCAGTGTCATTTTAGGTTAGGACTGTGTTGTGTTTTGATGTTTGAACGATTCGAAAGTTAGATTTTTGTGAATTTCTATACTGGCTGTGAGTGCGAGTGAGAAGGACTCGTGGGGATTTACGTGAGCGAGAGAAGGACAGACGTATTGAGTATTGAGAGAGATATATTTGTCTTTTGTATAAAATAACAACGTTTATATAGTGGATATATGTCACGATGCAGGTGAACAAAGTGGTATTATTAGAATCGAATTAGAAACGATAGAAATAGTTTTCTGTCCACCTGTCACAGTGACAGTCACTCGTGGAATACCGTGGAGCCATTAAAACTATTAATTGGCGAACTGAGAATTTGGAATATCTGTATTTGCAGTTGGTCGCCAAGTAGATGATTTCCCAGCGCAGTCGGCGCTACGTTACTAATTAAAGAGAATCGTTAAGGCTATTCATTATGAGGACACGGCTGCGTTCACGTCTTGTAACTAGAGGGGAATCCCCGGTATCGTAGCCATTCGAGCTTCTCTTTAATCCGCGATTCGCGCGTGAGAATTTTTCCCTTGTCTTTTTCTTTGATCCCTCCTTCACTCCTCTCCGTGGACCGTGTCGCCCTCTCTCTTCCACTTCTTCACTCTCACTCTCTTGTTACTTCACCAGCTTCACCTGAAACGTGGAAAAATTCTAACACAATGCTGTTGGAACTCGATACGTACGTGTTTCGCTTCCAGATAAACTCGTTTTAATGTTGCGCGATTTACTCATCGCTGCTAGGATATAATACCGGCAAATACTCTCTCACTCAGCCGTCCCCGGCTATTATCACGGTGCGACCTAACCAGCGTTTGTCAGCGAGTAAAATTTTCTGTCACTTCGCACGATTACAACCCTTAATTAATCCTGATTCGCTATAGGGTTGGTTTGAGGTTCTAAAAAAAAAGAAAAATAAAGATAGCAGCTCGTACACAAACAATTATACATTATAAGAGTAATCTTGTAAGGCTCAGAAGTTTATGGGCTGTCATGTTGAGATTCAAGGAGGTTAGGATTGATTCTCTACGGGTTTTCGTATACACGTGGAAGATATGTCCGTTTCTGGTTTAAAGGTTAGGTAGGAGTATTACCAATGGCAGATTTAATAAAAGGTCCGACGTAGTGGCAGGATAAATTTATAGATGGCAATGGCGAGCGTAAAGTAAGAAATACCTCACTCTCGATATTATATACAAGGCGTTGCTTCAACCCCTTTGAGTAGAAGCCGTAAAAGGTTTAACAGCGCTCCGAGCGTGTATACGGAATCCAATCGGATTACCATAAATTTCATCGCGCCCTCAGCGAATCCGGGCGCACTGGAATTAACGGCGACGAATCCTCTCTGGCGCATACGCCCGGTGTGATATCACCTTAACGAGTCTGCGCCCTGAGGCTAATTTCTGCCTCCTCCAAAAGGTAAACCTGTGCTATTCACGAAGGCATAACTCTCGTTCTCTATTCTACTTCACTTTCCTTTTCTTTTTCTTCTCGATCACCAATACACAATTTGGACTATTTAATAGGATACTTTTGAAGATCTTAACGAACTGGAATAATAACGAAGAAATCCGGCATTATGCACTTAAACGATATACACTTGTTGTTTTACAGCTTCCGAACATTTTCTAGGCCATTCTGGTCGTTGGCGGAGGGACTGTAGAGCGAGGTTAGGTTAGGTTTCGTCACTGGGAGAATAGCGAGAATCGTAGTACGTACAGGGGTAGTTCACCACACGCGACGTTGCAAAACATATAATTCCTGGTTAAGCACTGTGTGTAATTGTATAAAAGCGTGAGAGAGAGGGAGATATGAAATAAACGAGTGATAAAGACAGATACGGAGGACTGGTGTGTATCAAGTGGGGTAAACGATGGATACGCGGTGAAGCGGTAGCAGAGAAGCAAAAGGAGAGCAGGACGATGTAGTGGGGAGGAGCAGAAAGAGAGGAACAACGATTCCTATACGTGCTTCGAACCGGGAACCAAAGAAAACATAGCGTTTGAATGCTGTGGGCGTTACTAAAGGTTTAGTACGTCTGGAAGTCACCAGATGTCGCGGCGTGTGAAATGTAAAAGTGGTGGGAAACTGGGGTCTGTGGGTCGGGTCTTAAGGGTTACCGCCCCTGATACGCCCCTCGCCGGCCCTCCACGGTTAGGAGGAAGCAGACGCGTCGCGGCAACCAACTGGACAGCCAGCCTCGACACACCAGGTCCGTCGAACGCCGGTCTTACCTGGCCCAAGCCGTGAGTCAATCGAGCTTCGATTGTGCGCGATTCTTTCTTTTTTCCATTCCTTTTTGCATCTTTGACTTGAATGATACCAGTGTGAATCGGGCCTTAAATCGCGTTGCGTGAATAGTGCGATTTATTTGATTTCGAGAAGATACGAGGACGTTTTACCTGAGTACAGAGGTACTTTGGATTAGCAAACATTCCCGAGACAGCTGCCGCATGTTTGGAACTTGAAGTAGATTGTATGAGACCCAGGGATTTTGGGACTGATCTTGCGGAAGCGTGTGCAAAGTTTCTCTTTTTGCGAAATAGTGTAATTTAGTGGTGGTACCTTAGTGCGGGGTTCTGTGTGGATGACAGACGCAAGTCCAGGTACTGTTCATGCTATGCAAAAGAGGAAGTAAGGAGGAACCAGTGACAGATCTGAGGAGGATACTTGGAATTGGAACGCCCTGAATCATGAGTAGCGTGAGAGGGAGTCCGGGACCTGGTAAAGAGGCTAGAGAGACATGAACGTCTGGCCGAATTAGATTTTGAGATAAAAAATGGTGTGAATCACAAGGAGAGTATAGAAGCTTGATCCTTGACTGGGATCGTGGAAGAATAGGCATTGGTTACTCTGTCAAAATCGAGAATAGAGACTCCGGTTGAGGGCCGACGGCGCACGCCTCAGGATGGAAACGCGACAGTACCTGGTGATTGCCGTGCACTGAAGTACCCAGGTACATGCTGAAGTATTCAGAACTTCAGTAGAGGGAAATCATGTCGGCAAGCTCCGTGCAGAGAGCACAGCACCAGGAGCCGATGGAGCTGCCGGAATCGCGAGAGTCCACCAGGATGCCGAACAGCTCTAGTAAGAGGGACGTGGACAGCGACTGCGAGAGTGACACTAGTGAAGTTCTTAGCGTAGGAAGTGAACCAACCCCTACGATGGCTGTGGATGTGCAAGACTCGAGTTCGAGATTCGAGGGTGAACAGGACTTCCGGGAGGATGGTAGTAACACCAGGACATCGTTAACACCATCACCGACGGCATCGCCAGTGGCTTCACCATCCAGTTCAAGTTGTAACGAAGCCAGTATATATTATCATCGACCTACGACCGTCCAGGCATCAAGTCCAGGTTACAGTCAGCCCCCGTCGTCACCGGCAGCATCGGTCAGGTCGCCAGCGTCGTCTAGCGCCACGGCGTCGTCCCCTGGACGCTCAGAGAACCAGGATGTGTCGTCCAGGTACACTACCTCGCATCCTCATCTGGTATCCCGCTACATTCGTGACCCGGAGGTGGTTGATTATCCTTCAAGAGTGCCGCCACCTTCTCTTGGCCACGAGATCATATATCCCGCTGTCGAGAGGCTCCATAGAACCCCCATAAGCGTGCCTCTCGTCACACGGCTGTCCCTTTCACCACCATCGGCTGTGACAGTCTCCAATCTTCAAACTTCGCCACCGATCCTTCATCCAGCCGTCTGTCGAGAACTGAGGGATGCGTCGCCATTGATTCACCCCCAGCATCTTCACAGTCACAACAATTCTCATAGCCACGTTCACCAAACGTCCCAGGTGCAGCACGTTCCTGCTACCACGGGACACCATAGACTGTCAGTGAGCAAACTTTTACAGTCGTCGCCACCGCCGCCCCGGGAACCGAGTCCGGCGTCGCCACGGGAGGAGAATGGCGTCAGGAGCGGAGCACCTAACAATCCTAACAATAACAACAACAACAATAACAATCTGCAACATCAGGGAAACCTTAAGTTCAGCATAGACAACATACTCAAGGCGGATTTCGGTAGAAGAATCACGGATCCAATATCCCTAAAGAAGTCCAGACCTAAGAAAGTCGTGCCTCGACCTATTGACCTTACTAAAGACTTTCTCGAATCCTCGTCAGAGGGCTCGGAAAGAGGTTCCGAACCATCCACGACAAACACTTCTCCTGGTGTACCGACAGCCACTACGGGAACGCCTGGAACTGTTCCAGCGGCACCTGGAGCAGAACCTGGGAAGCAGATGCTCTGGCCAGCCTGGGTCTACTGCACCAGATACTCGGACAGACCCTCTTCCGGTAAGTGTAACATTCTTTTTATGGTTATGCGCTAATATGGCCAGGGTACAGTGGCTCGACTGCAACAAGAACCATGTAAATTCAGTATAAGGATAATAAGAGCGAGCCTAACCTCAAACATTTGAGAATTTCGATAGTCAATCTTGTATCCTGCTAATGAACGGCCTCCTTTACATGCCGGCATATGCCGTGGGGTAAATTTCCGTTCCAGCAGGTAGTAGTACGCTACTTACCATCATACGGCGTAATCATGCGAAGCAGCAAACTAGCGAACGTGTCTGAAAGAAAAGAAGGAGAGAAAGAACATATTAGAGAACGAACGAGGAGAGAAAATGACGAAGGAAAAAGTATGAAGGTGAAAACGGTCGGGTGTAACGAAGAAAAAAAAAAGAAAAAAGTTACCAATGTGATAATTTATTACTATGAAAAGTATACTTATATGGACCTATGTATATATATATACATACAAAACGGGCAATTAAGCATGAAAACCATATGTGCTCAGAACACGCATAGCAAGACGTTAGTTGAGCCACGCCGTTCGCACGTTTTACCTGTACATTATAACGTACACGTGAGATCTGGACTACTGGAACGTAGTTAGGATTAGTATGTTCCTGGATTTTATTAGCTTGTGTTGAGTCGCACGAAGATAATGTGTTGTTGATATAACATTGAGAGTGAATGATTACGAAGTAGACGAAGGAGAAAGAATAGAAAAAACTCTTAACGATTCTAGGCTGTTTTACCAGCCTCGAATCAGGCCTGTCGGAGCTTATTTTTGTGGTAGGAAAAAAAAATATAGGGAACATAAGTACATTAAACCAACGACGTTTCGTGATACCGAGTGTGCGGCGAATGATAAAAAAAAAAAGTGAGATAGAAATCATTCGAGAAATGATCTAGTTATTAATTCAAGCAGCGATCGTTACCGCATAATTTGAAGTATATTTTGCGATCGAGTTTAAAATAATAGTTTGGTAATTCTGTGCGTTTAATACTGTAGGTTATGTTTTACTTATCCTTCGGAGAGACTGCCTGTATCTTTCTTCTGTTCACTTTTTCTAGTTGGCACTCTAAAGACGTTTGTACCGTAGGCCCAAAAAAAGTGGGCATCTTGACGCCAGATATAAATCAAGTATAACGAAATGTTCGCGGAAAAATAAAGAGACATTAATTTGCGAATCGAGTTCCTACGGAATAAGGATTATCTAGACAGACACGAGGCTGTTCCATATCGGGTGGTCTCCTGGGATCCATCTATCTTATTAAGGTTAAATTAAAGGTGCACGTTCCCTGCCGTTGAACGCGATAACAGAGGGAACTAAGTAAGTCAGGTTAGATACTATTAAAAGTGGTTGCTTCCAGTCAGGAATATAATAAGGAGCTTCGAAAAATCATAAAACACTTTAAAATATCGTCCAGTGTGAAATTCTAGACGACGTAAACAATAATTTTGAACAATAGACTTTTATTCTATAATATTCATACGCGATATAGTTCGTAGCTTGACGCAGACGTCCGCCATATTGTCACGTGAGTCAAACGAGAGTGCAGCGCTTAGAGAGGGACTAAATACGGAAAATTTACGAAGAAAATAAATGTCCTACAGACTTTTCATGTTGTGGCGAGATACTTTCGTACACGAGTGAAGAATTAAGTGTATATTCCTGATACAATAATAACAGGGCACTAACAAGCTCCAATGTTTTGACGGCACCGCAGGGATTAACCTTTCGTTGCCCGCAGTACTGCGATGCGACTCATAACAAAACCGACTGACTTCTGCCAGCTAACGCAACCCGACTAATCATTTCTACATCATTTTATGGAGATGCCACGTTCCCAAGTGCATGTACGTACCACCTTACCGGAAGAGGATATCACGCATCCGCAATTTGTTCGTAGTAATGCGAGTAATTGTTACGAGAAGCGCGTATGACTTATGTATCGTTATAAACGTCATTACGCCTGTCATGGACGTTGCTCAACGCAAATTTACTAATGTAAACGCTTTCAATTATTACCAAGACTATTACTTAACATTTTAGTTCTCCTGTCCACTTACTTTCGTCGCCGTTCACTGCCTCTGTTTTTTCTTCGTTCAGTGCCGTACCGAATAGCGGGCATTTACAATTCTTTAATTTGAAATACAATAATACTTTTTTCTCTTATAATTACAGTTTATAAAAACGTTCGCTGCTTTACATTGGATCGGTAAAGGCGACGACATTAGAGCGTAATAAGAATCAATGGCCGATCCTGAATTGGAGGTTGTCGAGGGCAACGTCGGAATCGACCTGAGCTATAAGCGCCAACGCACTATAGACGCGTGTACGGTGCAGCGAGCGAGTGAGCGAAATGAACGAAGATGAGTGAGCAAGTGAGATAAAAATAAAAGGAATGGCAGCCACGGTATAGTCTGTTTAGAAACCGATGTCCGTAGATAGGAAGGAGGATTAGCGGGTTCGATGGAAAAAGGTAACGCTTCAAGACAAATTCAACGCCGATCGCGATCAATCTCTGTCAAAAGGTTGGTACCTCGGCTATAGGGAGTATATATATATATATATATATATATATATGCGCACTATGTATATACAAGGCCCCGAAGGAAAGTCCCAGCAATTACGTTTAAGTAGGCGTAGGCGCCTGGTACCTCGGCTATAGGGAGTAGTTTAGAAACCGATGTCCGTAGATAGGAAGGAGGATTAGCGGGTTCGATGGAAAAAGGTAACGCTTCAAGACAAATTCAACGCCGATCGCGATCAATCTCTGTCAAAAGGTTGGTACCTCGGCTATAGGGTATATATATATATATATATATATATATGCGCACTATGTATATACAAGGCCCCGAAGGAAAGTCCCAGCAATTACGTTTAAGTAGGCGTAGGCGCCTTGGGACATAGAAGCCAAGCAAAGTGGATATATTAGATAGGACGGTTATCGTATATAATATTATACTGAGCGTAATGCGGTAATAATGTCGCGAGTACTGAACTACGTACTTCCTTGTATAGGCTAAGTGAACGAGGAAGTCATCGAGGGCCGAAATAATGCGGGCCGGAAGGGGCCTTGTCATCGGCGACAACGATATGATGAACATTCAACGCGCCAACTTGAGAAACGGGCCCTTATTCTGTATGGAGCCGTGGGTGGGCCTTACCATGTGGATACAATATAGCGCTACTATATCGTTTATGTATACATGCGTATACGCTTGTCCATGCATGCATATATATGTATCTATGGATGAAAGACAGGGATAGGGGGAAATAGTAGGTCTTGCCAACGACAAATGGGCCTTATATTCAGATTGTCAGAAGGAAAATTTACTCCAGTGGGAAGATATAGGCTAATTAGGAGTGACTGTACCAGAGAAGCTCGATTAACTCGATGATATCGAAACTTTTGGTATGTTATTCAAGGCTGTGTAGGTACAAGGCCCAGAAGAGTACGGGCCCCGTACGGGTTTATAACTTTAAAAGTATTCAAGACCGAATGCTGTTTCATTTGTCAAAGGGACGAGCGACAATCGGAAGATGCTATGCAGCTAATTAGGGATGTTTAAGAAAAAAATGAGATCACCCGGTAGTCAAGTGGAAATTCATTACTCGAGTTTCACGCGTAGTCAGGCTGAGGGGGGGGGGGGGGGAAAG